AAGCAAAATCCATAGCTTAGTTCAATATGACATTTTATTAAAAAGTATCCACTCGATAAAACAGCGCACTCAAATATTTTTCGACACCATTGAAAAGGAACTTATAAAGATTAACAAAAACCTATTGGTTTATCATTCAATCTAATTTTTTAGGTTTTTAAAAAATTCTTTCAATAGTCTCGAACAAATATGGGCACAATATTTCTGATTCTATATGCAAAGAAAGCACAATATTCTGCTTCTAACTCATAGCTATTGACGTTTTCAAGACATTTTCAAGAGAACCAAAAGAAAATAAATATTTTGTCTCAAAACTTTCGGCTCACCCGCTATTTATATCATTTTTCTATAATAAAACAATCGGCAGCATTTTTTGTGATCCATATACTCGTCGTCAAGGTATTTGGATTATTTAATCGTACAGTTATAGTATATATAGCATTAGGATGGACTTTTTTCTGGTGAACATAAACATATTTATGAAATAATATCGTATATCTATTTGTATGGATATGAGTATATTAATGTAATATATCAATTATTCATCAATCCATTCTGTGTTATTGAACATTATTGATCAATTCGAAAATGATTTGTTAAGAATTGATTTACTCATTAAACTATATGAGTAGTTTTACAATTTTAACAAAATACTTTTATATGTCAATATATACATATTTCTTTATTTGGATACTTGAAGTAAACTTGAAAAGAAAACTGTGACTATTGAGAAACTCTGCAGCAGATGAACTAAGTAACATTGATCTCACAAGGGGATGGTTTTTCAATCATCAATTGCTTTCACAGTAAAAATAATAACTACTGCATGTTTGGCTGTCAATCATCCTAATTCTGAATATGAACATGAGAACTTTTCTTAGGTCTTCATATAATATACGACTTTTCAAACTAACAAGCATTTGTTCAAAACTGTTTTAGCTATGTTCAGATTTAGAAGCATATCAAGTTGTCTAGAGAGCAATGATCTTTTCTAATTTTTTTTCAAATGAACATTCAGTAAAACAATATCATCTTCATGATTTTTACATTGAAAAGTTGATATATTTGTATTGTATAAATTCAAATGGATGTATTTTCTTCAAAACAAAAATGATCTAAAACTGAAAAATTTTACTATTTTCTAGTTAATCCGATATCTTTCATAATCAGGACAGATTAAAAATAAAATATGGCGAAAATTACACCAGTCCAAAAATTTGATTTTCTGGAGAACCAATATAGGAAGATTTAAAAGGGCTGTTCATGCTCATATTCGGAATCATCACAATCGATCACCTATTAGCTCATAGCTTTTCTGAATGAAATGATTGATCAGTTCAAATGGTTCCTTGATCAGCCTCTTTCTTTTAATGTATATTAAAAGAAGTATAGGACCTCATATGCTTGTTTGAATTTTTATCATAGTAGATGTAACTAGAAAAGAAATATTTTAAAATGTGAAGAATATTCGATTGTTTTTCTTTTTCAAATTGAATTCTAAGTCAAATAAATTTTTCATTCTAAATATTCAAGAAGAATAGATTTATTATAATTCAAAGTTATATCAGATCTTTTTATTTCATTCATAGCAAAAGTCATTTTTTGAATTGAATTTCAATAGAAAAAAGTATATGCTTTAAAAGTCATAGATGTAGTAACGAGACAGAATACTCTTTATGGGACTAGACCTTCTTGATATAATGAAGATTATATAATAAACTAAATACTGCTTTAGAAAAAAAAAATGTTTTTTTTCAAAATTTGTCAATGAATAATTAACACATAATGTAACACAAGAAGGTAAGATATTTGAGAAGATTTATTCACATTGGAAAAAATCTAATTCAGAATAGAAAAATTCTCATATGAAATTAGGATACTATGAAAACACAAACCTATGTAAATCTCTTAAAATATTACTTTCTATTAACACTTCGTCTAACACCTTGGAAATAAATCCGAACTTCTTTCTAATTATACTTGTGCAAATATAATTGCATAGAAATTCGATATTAACATTATTGATTACTAACTGTTATTTCGC